AATATAATAACAACATATGATAAAAACAAAATGAAAGGTATGGGAAGAAGAGATGCAGAATCATCGTGCCCTCATGCACGGGAGATTCTCTCCTGCTATTTTCCTAAGATTCTGCTTCCCGCTTGGATTGACATAACTTCATGTATATTCCGACTTTAGGCCTGACCCGCCTTAGGTCAATTTTTTGCATGAAATAATATGCTTATTTTATAAGTTTTTGAGCGAAATTTGTGGAACTTTTTAAGAAGGCTCCAAAATGAGCCACTCAAAGTCATCTGGTCTTTCTTGTATTATTCCCAGGTTCTTGTCCTTCGGTCTGTCTAAACCTTAATGGATCATCTATGACCCTTGAATGACTTATTGTCCTCATCTGATATGACATGATATGAATTAATATTATTTGACTCCGGGGCTTAGATGATTGTAGAGTCGAAGTAGACAAAACAATCCCACGACAAAACTTACGTAGAGCCCGAAGTAATTGATTTTTAGATGTGTCATAATGATAAAACGAAACGATCGAGATCTAGTTTCTCAAGAAACGTCAGGTCTTATATTTAATTTTGTCAAATTTCAGGAATCGATATATATTGAAATAGTTTGTTATTATGAAAAGAGCTTACTCTTGATTATGTAAAAAAAGTTATTGTTGACATGAAAGTGGTGATAATTCATCATAGAAAGTGGTGATGGTGGGAATAAGGCACATATTCGCAAGAGATGTATTGATTGGTTGTTTATATATAGGACCAAATCATACATTGTTCATCACAACTGTTCAAAAACAATTTCTTCATCGTAAATATCTCTTTTTCTCTTTTCACATATATAACTTTGATAACACATTCAAAGTAAAATTTCAAGAGAGAAATTGAGTAATTACTGAACTCGTTTCTCTATAGCTTTGGTGTATATCCTAGAGGTATATTTTTTCTAAACCAAACAACAATAATAATGAGGGCAAATAATACTTGAAGGTCAATGATCGTCGTCATGTAACAAAGCCTAAAAGATCTATAACTACCGCTTTGTCTTCATCAGCAATTAAATTCCCCCAGCAGTATATATTTTGGATAAGAAACATGGCTAAAATTAAAACAAACAACATAGAATAAAAACAAAATGGAAGGTGTGGGAAGAAGAGATGTGGAATCATCATGCCCTCATGCACGGGAGATTCTCTCCTGCTATTTTCCCAAGATTCTGCTTCCCGCTTGGATTCATATAACTTCATGTACATTCCCAATTTAGACCTGGCCCACCTTAGGTCAATTTTTTGCATGAAATAACATGTTTTTTTATTAATTTTTTTAGCGAAATTTGTGGAACTTTTTAAGAAAACTACAAAATGATCCACTCAAAGTCATCTGGTCTTTTTGTATTATTTTCATGCTCTTGTCCTTCCCCTTGTGAAAACCTTGATGATTCTTCCATGACGCTTGTATGACTCATTGTCCACGTTTGATATTTTATGAATTCCATTATTTGACTCCAGAGCTTACTTAATTGTAGTGTCAAAGTAGACAAAACAATCACACGACAAAAACTCATGTAGAGTTCGAAGTAATTGGTTTTTAGACGTGTCGTAATGATAAAGAACGATCGAAATCTCATTCGTCGAGAAGCGTAAGGTCTTACCATTGATTTCTATTTTGGCTCGATGAATGGAGATTCGTTTAGACTCTAAATGGTTTGTATTATAATCAAATTGAGAAGGGAGATTTAGTTTGGTGGCCGAAAATGGACTTGGAACACTTATGAATCGTGACAGCAGAGGAGGACAATTCTAGAATATGCCGGACTAACTGGCCATATGAGCATTACGTACTTGGGCAGACCGAGTTGAAGAATATTTCATTGTACTGAGTACAAGAGCATTTTATTAAGGCTCCATTCGTTTCGAGAAAAACAATTACCAAGAAAATATTTTCCGGATTTTCTGGGGTTCGGTTCATAGAAAATAAATGAGTAAAGGAAAACATTTTCTATCAATGGAAAAAACACCTTCAAAAGTGAGCAAGGAGGAAATCATTTTCCCTCATCTTTCTTTCACCCAAACCAAGCACGTTCTTCTCTGAGCACTCTTTTAATTTTTCTTTTCTTTTCTTTTCTTCTTGTTCTTTTTTGCTTCTTCTTCAGCCGGTCGCTAGCCGCACCAGCCGAAGAAGAAGGAAAGAGAAAATAAAATAAGAAAAATTAAAATTTTGAATTTTTTAAAAATAAAACAAAAATTAATACAAAAAAATTTTTTAGAAGGAGTGCATGGAGGAAAATCAAATCCGATTTTCCATACCAAACGGCAAAAAATATTTTTCAATTCATTTTCAAGTTTCAGCCAGACACTGGAAAATATTATCATTTTCCTAAAAATTAACTTCCTGAAAAATATTTTCCAGAAACATCACATTTTCTGCGAAACGAACGAAACGAACGGAGCAAGTATATGTGTATGTGTATATGCATGTAAGTGTAGATCTCAATCTTATATATAATGCAATCCATCGCAAGACAAAAGGCTAGATGGCAGTCACTCCATCACCCTCGTTCCTCCCTCTGCCAAGCTGGAACGGACCCTAGATGGGAACCAAACTTCAAGCCATACGAAGATGGAGTTACACACAGTGCGATATCGGTTCGCCTTCCTGACCTTCCCATAGAATGCTTTGATCGCCACATCCTCGAAAGTAATGGGAAATTGTTAGGTCAGCCAATCAAATTCGACACCATCACTCTCTCCGTAGAACGGTACGCTCGCGTTAACATCCGGATGGACATTACCACAACCTCTCCCGACGACCATAGAAGCTGATAGCCTCGTACGGGAATTGATCTATGAAAACACTCAACTCTTATGTTTTTTGCGCAGTCGTGTTCGACACATGCAAACTCGATGCAACTTCACAGCTGCCGCCAATCCCCGCAACCTCATTACAACCACCCGAACCTCCAAGATCGCCTGCAGTCCCGACACCGGCTCGACATATGGGCCTTGGCTCATTGTCAACACCGGGAGGAGCAGAAAGAACAATTCACACCAGATGGGTCCAAGTTCAGCTCATGTGAACCCACCTCATCAAGCCAACATCCACAACCCCACCTGGGCCTATCGCTTTTATCACCCACCATGCCTCCCAATGGTCCATCCAAGTCACCCATAGCTAGCATTGAGCACTAAGGCTGTATTTGGTCGTCTGGATTTATAGCCAGGATAGAACTGGATAGGATAAGATATAAAATCCAAGGGATTTGCTATATCCTATTTACTGTTTGGTGAATTGGGGAAATAAAGTCAAATATTTTCATATCTTACCATGTCCATTATTTACTATAAACGTCATATCAGTACAAATGAACCTAAAAATTGCACAAACGGAGATGATAAAAAGCTCTCACAACACTCTTACCAACTTCATTTTTATTTACTTATTTTTTTTATTATTTTCCCTCTTTTTTAATTTTTTTATTTATTTTTTCCCCTTCCATCATTCTCTAATAAAATTTTATTAAATAGTAAACTATACTAATACACCTAAAATATGTTATAAATATATATATTAGTATTGATTTATATATATGAAATTTATATCACAAGATATAAAGAAATTTCGAATATATAAATAAAAATAAGAATAGATAAAAACGAAATTTTTTTTTTGTTATTTTGAATTTTTATGTTAAAATTCAAATACTATTTATATTCAAATATTATTTTAATTTTATTAATTTAACAAGTTTGTTATTCGAGAAAATTGATTTTTACGTTATGGATATTAGAAATCATATCCATCTTTATCCCACCTCCCCCATGGGATAATTTTATCCGGGCTATATCCCTCCCATATCCGACTTTATCCTATCTTGAGTAGACACCAAACACAGGATAGGATAAAATTTATCATATCCTGAATTTTATCCCGACTACCAAACGTAGCCTAGGGGTAGTCAATTTCCACCTAGAATTGAGAATCGGATCAGTAGGGCCGGGAATTGAACCGGACCGGACCGGTTGGTACTGATTCGATTCCCGGGTTGGTCTAGTTTCCAGGTTGGACCCGTTCGGTTTAGGGTATTGGCAATTTCCTTTTTTTTATTCTTTAAAAGAAAAGGAAATTAAAAAAAAAGCATATCAGTCCGAGCGGTTCGATTCCACACCTGAAACCAAGAACCAAACAGATTATCCCCAGTTCAAAAAATTTGGAACCAGTTCCGGATCAGTCCGATTCCCGTGCACACCCCTATTACTACATCTACAGGTAGAGAGAGACGGCTCAGAGTAAGACCTAGCTACCTAGCTAGCGGTATTGCTTCTTTCCATTTCTTTGAAGGTGTTGCTTCGTTCTTTTCGGCTTTATCTACGTAGCTAGAGATAATGCTTCGACTACAAGCGCGAGTTCATGTTTTCTGGGTGACTGACTCTCCGAGTGGTGAATTCGCTGCGGTTTTCTCGGGGATTCGTCTGCTCGAGTTCGTGCATGTGAACATTTGCGAATGGATGTTCTGATAACAGCAAGCTAGGAGTCGTGCATTATGAAAACTGGAGAGAGAATTCTGGATGTGCCTCCCTCGCCTATGTCTCATTCATTAAGTAAAAGTTTCAGGGTACATAGGTTGTTGGGCCTTTTGTTCGTTGGGCTTTGACAACCCAGTCCGCCACTTCGTTATATTCTCTACTGCAGTGAGCTAGCTTTAAATTTGCGAAATTCTTCAAGAAGGTGATAAGGGCGTGCAGCTCCCACCGAATTAGATCTGCACCGGTTAGAGCACTTATCAGTTCTAGCTGATCTGACGCCAACTCCAAACTCAAGTTCGATCTCCCTTAGAAACAAGCTAGGGTGGTTTATCTGCGGTGCAGCGAGGTGATATGACCATTGCCAGTCCATGGCTGATTTGTATAATCGGCAGTGGCCCTGTTTACTTGTGGAATATATGTGTATGTATGTGTATATGTATGTAAGTGTAGATCTCAATCTTATTTGTAATGTAGATGGCTGGACTTTGAGTTCCATTTGCGAAGGCGAGGGTGATGGTACTTCAAATTCACTGCAGAAGTCATTACACTGTTGAAGAGCACGAATAATTTCAGTTCTAAACCACTAGTAAACTCAAGAAGTTACAGTCGTAGATGTGCTGCTTAGACTCGAAATTTAGTAAATAAGTCTTTGGTCCCTCGTTCTACAACTTGTTCGCCTCCATCTTTGACGTCCAATACCCTGTTCGCCTCAGGCAGAGCACTTCCAGCTTGCAGATGTTCTTGTTAGGCCCTCATCTGCATATTGACCTATGCATCTACAAGCTGGTTTCACACCACCAATGCACGCACTAGTATCGCTTTGATCATTGTGTCGCTTTCAGAACAATATTGAGAGCTTTCCTAACACGAACTTCGTGGAGGAACGAGGGTCAGATTTACATATACTTGAGGTCAAACACCCTACTCATGTAGGCATATGTTGGTGTCAGCCTCGCCATCAGGAAGAGCCAATGCTTATGATAAGCAAAATCATTTACACTATACTGACACATTAGTCTCCTTATGCAAATTCCCTAATTCATTAAGCTGCTTAAATTGGGGTAATTGAAAGAAAATGGGGTTTTATCCATAAATCTCTATTATAGGAATCGTGGTAGGATCCGTTTTCATGATCACTTCCACGTCCATGGTCATCATGATGGTCATGATTTGGAAAACCAACATACTCCTTATAATTCTCTATGTCCTCATCATCGAACTAGTTTTCCGTGAGTCCGAAGGCAAGGACATAGAGGATTATAAGAAGCATGCTGGTTCCAAATCATCATCATTATGATGAAGAAGGAGATGAATGTGAAGACGGACGTTACCATGATTTCTATACTAAAGTATAGGTATAAAAAGTGAATTTGTCTTTCAATAACCAGCTTAATGAATTAAGGGGTTTGCCTAAACAGACTGAATGTGTGTATATATGGATGCTTTTGCTTACCATAAGCATTGCCCATCTTCAATGAGAAACAGCATCTGCAGCTAATCACGGCATGTTGATACAAGGAAACCATCAAACTTCTGCAGGTAGGCCTGTTAAATGATTTTGAAATAACTCAGAGCAAATAAAATTAGATCGAACTAAATTCAAATTCAACCTAGTGCCTCTGCTACCCAAAAAGCACATATCTACAAAAGAAATAAGGTAAAAACGGCTTATTCTACGGAATTGTCCATAAGATCAACAATGATCTACTTTACAATAACTTAAACCGGAACGTGTTAATTATGATTTGTAGTGTTTTTTTTTTTTGTCCTATTTCTAATGAGAGCACTTATTTTAACAACCACAAGCAAATCGAGTAAAACCTTGTATGCGGAAAGAAGTGTCGATTCATAATACTGCATCTTCTCGACATCCCTTGAAACTATCATCTCGAGCTCCTTCTCAGTAGGAAGTCTAGTGTGGTAGCTATCATATCACAACAAAGGAAAACATCAAGACAGAGCCAAGGGAACATATGGTGAGTAGATGTAGCTGTGAAGTTCACATCAAAATCAACTCGGCTACATACCCAGGAATTATGTCTTCGAACACAGCCAACAAAGATAGAAGCCCAAGCTCAACGATAGCATAATAATCATCAACTGCACATCTGCAGCATTTCCTTTTTAGAAGTTTAAAATTAGACTCCGGATCAGCAAGCGTAGCAATTCCCAGCTCCCCAAGTTTACACTTCTTAGTTTCAAATGACTCTTCTGCAGTGATGTCCTCTTTCAACTCAGCCTAAGAAAACATGACATTGCGTACAGGTGAGAGGAAATGTCTTGATGGTTAAGTACTGTACAAAGGTTACGAGAATAGTAGTATGATACTAGCAAACTTGGGATAAACATTCAGGCATAACATCAAGTCCAAATCTTCATTGCAACTTAACCAATGAATGCACCTAAGCAAGCTGCAAATGATCCCCCAAGATACACGCACAAGTTTTACCCAACAGAAAGCAAAACACTGAGAACAGAGGTACATGCACTTCCACACAACTCAGAAGTACAATGAGAACTCCAGGGCACGCTGCATCTCACCAACAACCAAAGCATAAACAGAAAGAAAATAAAAGGGTAAAAAAAAAGAATACATTTTTTTAACCGTCCATCAATTTTAGCAAGTGTTCATGTTCCAGCCCCTTAAGAAGAAAAGGCACTCGATTGGAAGACGGGATATTTCGAGGAGACAAGAAGCAAAGACCAAAAGAAGGAGTACAGGGGTGGTTGGAGTGATGCGGTACCGAAATAGCTCTTTGGGGGTCGTCTCTCACTTCATCTGGAGGCAGCTCTTTCGCTTGATTCTTAGCCTCTTTCTTGCTTTTGTTGATCTTAGCTCGCCTTTCATCTTTAGATAGCTTCACCAGAACTTGATCTGTCTCTTTGGTGTGTTCTTCTCCTTCACCTTCATCTTCAGATGGTTTTGGATGCTTTCAACGCTGATTGCCAAAAGGCAAAAAGGCCTGAAAGTTAGCACCGGTCAATATTGAGCCGAAAGTGTAATTATGTTTCTATATACAAGAGGATGCAAATCCAGGTGTGATAGTGCAAATATTAGGTGAATTAGTTTAAGACAATTGGCAAAAAAAACAAGGATTTAGGACTGAATTGGCACAATTGCAATAGGTTTAGGATTTTTTGAGTGAAAGTGTGATTATTTTCTATACACAAGAGGGTGCAAATACAGATGCGATAGTTGAGTTTGCCGTACATGGTCTTTACAGGCAGAGCATCCAAAGGACCAACTTGAATTCCAGGTTCCTCCTCCTCCTCCTCCTCATGTGTCTGCAAGGCCTTCTTCTTCTTCAATCTCTTCTCATAGAGAGCTTCCAGGGCATCTTCTTTAAGGTCAGCCACTCGCCTGACATGCCTGCCTTAGCTTCAGGTCAGCATCTTCTTTCGATCGCTCTCTGTCTCTCTGTGACCATGTAGATGTGGTGAATGAGGGTAGTTGTGGGAGCTTCTCTCGGTCATCATGTAAATGTGGTGGATGAGGGTAGTTGTGGGAGCTTCTCTCTGATCACGCAAATGTGGTAGGTAGTTGTTGGAGCTGAGATGGCCTTTGTTGACCATCTAGCAACTATGTAAATAAGATTAACAAAAATGTCTTGTACATGTGATTTTAGTCACAGTTTTGTGGTTATATAATGAAAATGACAGCTTTCTATTTCATTGGATTTCTTTAAAGATGAACCATTGAGTATTCAAATTGAGAATAAAACGGCAATATGACCGGCAAATAGGCCGGTCTTGGCAAATGCTGACATGGCTCAGGGAGGCCAAGCCCGGTCACCGAGGCAAATGCCGACGGTCATGTGTCCTGTTTTCCTTCGGTAATTCATTGTCGTAGACCATGGATATATTTTAGCTGGACGAAATCTATGCAGAGATATAACAAAACTACCTATTGGCCTCCATATCTATATAATTAATCACTCATTTGAAGAGGTCGAAGAAAAGGCAATCGCATCTTACATTTGTTTAAGCTTGAGAGATCTTTCTACTGTAGGACTGATGAGAAAAACTGCCAAATGTATGGGCACTTCCACTCCAAATCATCATTGTCTTCGTACCTGAACATGTACCGACAACATTGTTTTCACCTCCCATGCTTGTCCTTCCTTATTATATATGTTCGAGATGTAACATATACATAATATGGTGTCCTTTCTTTGTTTTCTTACTAGAAAGCCTCTTGCTTGAAATGGGAATATCAAAAAGCCATTCCAAATAATGATATATGAATCTACAACTAGCTCACTTCACTCCATAAAAGAAAAATTATTAGTTTTGGCTTTTCTTTTTGGTCTCTATTGATGGAAACGAAGGACCATCCATTACTAGTCACTAGCATCATCATAGATAGAAACTATTAACCAAAACCAAGCACCAGCCAGAACACTTTTTGCTTCCCTCCTTTTTCCAATGGTTAATTTATGATTGTTATATGCGAATGTTATTCAAATCATACATAGTATGAGATCCGCATCATGAAGTTGCTCTTGCAAGGATGCTGCCAACATGTCAAAGCATCGCACCCATTTTCAATCAGTCTGATCACATGCTCAACATCCTCAATTATCCAGGACCGGCGACCATGATTATTTGCCAATTTAGAGACCATGATTCAAGTCGTGGTCTCTTTCACTTTTCTAGGCTACTAGTAGACGATGAAACCCAAATGGGAGCTAGTCCTAGTTCTAGCAAGCTAAGCACTCGGCCATTTATGCGTACCTTAGCAAAAAACTGCACCAACTTCTGTTCCCATTACAAGAAGTGGGAAGAAGATATTAGGCATTTAAGATCCAATCAGAGTGGGTGCCCATACCATATCTTTTGCAGTGGAAGCAAGTTGGCAATGGCAAGTCTTGCCATTCGCGGTCATTACTTGGGGCTTTGCTAGCATAAAAGTCCTTAAGCTACTGTAAGAGTAACAGCTTGTCGTGAGCCACAAATTCTTGAAGGGATGGACCCGACAACAATTTAAAATGATTTTTTATTTATTTTTTAATGATTCAGAACATGTTGTTATTCTCACAGTAGATTAAGGACTATTACTGAATCATTTCTCCTTTTGATATATCTTTTGATTTAATTACTTATTTCTTTTTTGTTCGAAATTTTAAGCACTTATTTCACTTTGTATATCCAACACATGAAGAATGGCAAAATAATCACCCTTGTATTTATATATCCTTAGAGAGATATATAGTGCTATGAATAAGTAATATAAATTCTCTCATATTATCTTAAAAGTTAGAACCTCATTAGCATCTACAGATTTTTTGGAAAATTCTCCAAAAAAATCCTAAACCAATTCCACTTTTTCCAATTCAATTCTAAACCTTTTAATTGTGCAATTGAGTCCTAAACTTTTTCACGTTTTTTGATTGAGTCCATCTAGCCAATTTTTGCTTGAAAACGCCGAAATGAACGCCGGCGGTCCTATGTGGCACAGCCAATGCTGATGTGGACAAGTTTTAATAATATTTTAATCTTTTTTTCGAATTTTTTGTTTTTCTTTTCTTTTCTTTTCTTTTCTTTCTTCCCTTCTTTCTCTTGCCGATTGCTAAGGCGAGCTTGCCATCCTCTAGCAAAGCTTGCCTTTGCAGGCCACTAGCGAGGCTCAACCATCGCCGTATCGGTGAGGGTGAGCCTCCCCCAAGAACTGGTGAGGCCGACCTCGCCTAGTGATGGTGAGGTCGAGCCTTTCCAAGGGCGGACGAGGTTTGCCGTCACTAAGCTGGCGAGGTCAACCTCGCTAGTGGCTAGATAAGGTTCAACCTCATTAGATTTGGTGAGTTCAAGCTTCGCCTAGCGATAGCAAGGTCTAGCCTCGCCAAGGGCAAGCGAGGCTCGCCCCCTTGCCGACCCTTGCCTCTGGCCAATCATCGGCCATAACTAAGGCCCGATAGCCAGCTATAGGAAGAAGAAAAGAAAAAATCAATAAAATATTAAAATATTATTAAAAATTATCTATGTGAGCGCCGGCCACGCCACATAAGACAACCGGCTTCCACGTCAGTGATTTCCGATCAAAATTGTCCAAATGGACTCAATTGACAAAATGTGAAAATATTTAGGACTCACTAGGCGAGGGTCGATCTCAGTGATTTCCAAGGTCGACCTCGCCCAGGCCAAAACTGGCAAGGTCGACCCTTGCCCAAGCTAGAGCGACCTCGTCGGGCATCGCCTCTCGCTGGGGATTGCCCTCGCCCAGGCGAGGCCAGCCCACTTGATAATAACCGATGGCCGATCACCAGCAAAAAGAAGAAGAAAGGGAAAAAAAGAAAAAATAATAAAAAATCGAAAAAACATTAAAATATTATTACAAATTGTACACATGAGTGCTGGCCGGCATCCGCATCAATAATATCCGGCCAAAATTAACCGAAAGGATTAAATTGGTACTAGATTGAAAGGTTTAGAACTAAATTGGTATAATAAAAAAGTTTATGATTATAACTTTTCTGACACTTTTCCCGTCAATTAAAATATGTTGGACTCCGATTAGTACAAGCAAAGTGTTAGTTAATTGTTAAAATACTCTCTCTCTCTCTCTCTCTCTCTCTCTCTCTCTCTCTCTCTCTCTCTCTCTCTCTCGTTTTTTTTCTTTAAGCAAATCGGGTCGAATGAATTGCATTGTACTTTATAAAGCTCCTTAAGCTTCCTTCTCAATTGAACATTTGCTCTTATTAGTTGAGGTCAATGCACAAAAATCCACAAATTAAATCATTGTCAAGTGTCTGTCTACTCATCTAGTTCCCAGGCTGATTATGATTATCGAGTTCACTGAAAGCTCTTGGACTTTTGGTGTGAGTTTGAACAAACCGTGCAATCTAGTCATCTCGATTGTGAGAAAAGAAACTATACATGTTAGATGAGTATGGATGATTGCCATCATTCTTTTGGTGGGGATTTGTAAAAATGGGACGCCTATAATTGATGGACTCTTTGCATGACGATCCAGTCATCGGCCATGAGAAACGAAACTATACACGTTAGATTCATTTGAGTGTGGGTCGGATTCATTTGCGTGATTGCCATCACTCTTTTTGTGTGTGTTTGAACAAACAAGACATGTGTAATTGATACATGCTAGATGAGTATGGATCGGGCGAATTTTGCATGGTTCACCGGTATAAAAAGTCCTTCCTTCTTGATGGGTTGCTCATCTACTTCTCACATGGTCTTTTTGTTTAGATTTATAAAAGAACGAAAAAAAAAGTACACATCTTTATTCTCTCATCAAAATTAAAAATGTTCTCGGCTTTTATAGAATTATGAAAAGTTACGCATGAAATTTTGAAATGTTATTTGATTTTTATAGGATTATGAAAAACTTACGTATGAAGTTTTGTGCTAACAATTATTTATTGCGAAAATTTCAAGTGTTTAACTTCAAAAAGCTCTAATTGTGTGCGTTGCAACATTTGAAAGAAGCAAATACGTAAATTCGTAAAACTTTTAAACCGCTACGCCGAAACCTCTTCGAATTAATTTCTTCCAATTTGACTAACAAAAAACCTAATTTGATTTTTTTATAAGACACATGGCGAACCATGTAGGCACTTATTAAACTCAAATCAGACATAAAACTTATCTTTTTCAATATTACCCAACTTGTTGTCAAAGAGAGGCAAAAAAAAAAAAAAGCCTGCTGGAGATGCACAGTTGATCTTTTAAGAATCCTAGACAGTTGACTTAACATTGCACAAGCTCAAATCCTCCTACAACCAAATATATAGAATCTCATATCTTGACAAAAAGTAAAATGTTTAGATCAATTTCCCATTACATGCCATGATCAAATGTAAGCCGATCGAATGATATTTACTGAAAATTCCTCGGTGCACTTTTTAAATCATTTCAGCAAGGATTTTAAAGCAAACAAGGGTTGCTGACAATACAAAGAGGAGATGTTGTCCGTGATGAGTTTGAGTTGTCTCAAGGCCCGAAATGGGATTGCAAAGACCAAGACGTTGGTGAAAGGTCTAATGGAAATACAAACAGAGGAATCTACAAAATAAGATATGAAAAGTATAGAATTGCAAAAAAGGAAATTAGGAGCAGAAGAATGTGATGTTGATTACCTCTCAAGCATTTCCTCAACAACTTCATCACTCAACTTCTCACTGTGACCTTTCTTTAACATTATTGTCACAATAAGTGGCCAGCAGTTCTGCACTTGAGCTTCCATCGACACTCTTATTGCAGAAGAACTCGAATGCCTCATTTAGAGCCTACAGAAGAGCAGAGAAATTGACATTAAGCATAAACACAGGATGCCAGGAGGCGGCAATAGTAGCAGCATACCTCATGAAAAAGAACGTGGTTCTGGAAACAATCCTCGACATATGCTAGGTACTTATCATGTAATTCACCCACTTTCCTGAGAAAAATCTGCAAAATGTGCACGTATATCAGCTTCCTTTCAATATTTAGCCTCCTTTATCCAAAATAAGATGTGAAAAAAAAGTAGGTTGGATAACTTGTTCTTGCAAACCAACCACATCCTTCTTCTCAAACTGCGAAAGAAACAGAGTCATCTGTTCAACAGAAACTATTTTACTTTGCATAGTAAACATCTAACAGTTTTTCAGATTCCCTGGACGTGTGAAAACTATGCTTAGCAGCAACCTATGCTTTCATGGCTAGTTTCAGTGGTCTTAGTTCAAGTCTCTCATTCCATCTTCATAGCGCTTGGCAATTATTCAAATGCATACCCCTTTTTCATCTTTCAGTCCCTTAAAACTCACATCCCCAATTAACAAAGAAGAAAAAGCAAATGGTGCTTATTTAAGGATATGGAAACTGTTTTTCCAAACAAGAGGTCTATCAACACACAACTAAATGCATCTGTGCATTTGTGATACGCATTCCACAAAATATCTACAATTCTGTCACTTCATTGCGTTGACTTGTACACTTCTTATGATTTTACTAAGGATTAAGTGCCTTCTCAGTCCAAAATCCACTAGTAAAAATCATTTAGCTAAGTGAAACAAGGTATCCTTCAAAATAGACAATTTTTAATGACTCGCTAAGATTCTATACCTCATGAATTCCTATGAAAGCATGCAATTTAGCAGTTTGAACAGCTAAAAGAGTACAAGAAACACATAAATGTGCATACTTTCTTGTTGCTTGCCGCATCTTCAGCTTGTTTGACCAAAGCTGTACCTTCAGCAGTAACATGCTGCGCCATACAACGAAAATAAGTTCAAGAAAGCATAAAAGATCTACTTCCTAGAAAAAGCACGATTCTACGGTTAATGACCTGTTTAAATATATTTGCAACAGGATCCAAGCCCCTAGGTATTTTAGAAAACAGCCTGAACATTCTTGACAAATCCTCCACCTAAAAAGCAAACATTCCAGTCAGTAATAACGCATCTTCCCTATCAAAAATCAAAAGTACCAAATGGAAATATAAAAAGTAAAGCAAAAGCAAGCACCTTATCATCTCTAAGCAATGCGTGACACCCGGAGGGCTCTTTTTCAAGTAGTTGGCTTGCATAGACAGATAGTAATTCATGTTGAACTTTCTGCAGAAATCAGGAAGTAAACCTTGCAAATTAGAGTTGATAGACTAAATAATAATGATACACCACAACTTCACGCAGAATTGTCATTCCAAAAGTCACACCAATTTCCAACCTCAAGTAACTTTGGCTCACTACTTGGATGCAGGTAGTGAGAAACCCTGTCTCTCTCACGTTTTAGACACTCTTCAGCCTGTGATCGCCAATAACATGGATTAATATCATTAAAAACAATCAACTACGACATTTCAGGCTAAGGGTGTAAAGTGTAAGCATTTCCTTCAGCATGTAATCTTGACAAGAGTCTTCCAGTATCCAAATCGAAGCCTTCCTAGAATAATAAGCAGCAGTATCTTCAAGCAGTGATGCTTCAAAGTCACCTTCATAACGATCCATTTGCCCCATCCCAATCTCAACAAATATATCCAAAACCTTCTTTAGTAAAGCTCGGTCAATTTGCTTTCCCTCACGTTCTTGATCAATCTACTCAAAATTCAAACCGGTCATAACAACTAACAAGATTTCCAGAATTAATAAACCTGTCGAGGATCAGAGGGGATGGATACAATCATACCAAAGAGATAATAGCATCCCTGACTTTTGCATATAACTCCCTATATACCTGAAAGCATCATCAATGAAGTGTAATGAGATAATTGTCAACACATATGAAAAAAGTCGACATCATTAATCTGCAGTCAGCATAATTCAAGCATATTTGAACCATGAACTCTTCTGCAGATGATCAGCAGAAAGAGGACATCAGGTCACTGGTGACATACCAGATCACGAAAGCAAGTCAGGCCAACTTCATTAAGGGGCCGCAATGATCTTTGAGCAACGAAGTACCGGTCCAGATAATAGAAGAAACGAGATAGCCACATAACCATCACCTTATGGTTTGCCCACCTTGTCACAAGTTCTCTCAGCAGAAACTCATCATGCATCTCCCTCAATGAAGGCAATACCTAAATCAAAGACAGACCAAGAAGTTAATGGAAATAGAATACTCAGAGAACCCAAAGGGCATGTTGTCCACAGTGAAAAGTACGTATTACAACAAGGAAAGGGTTAATTGTGAAACTTCTAAGTCATATATCATCAGAGAAGGACGTCCATGTCATGAATACTACCATCTCACTTTCAACCATCAATGTGATTAAGTACTAAAAGATAGTTTCTACCTAAAGATGAGATGATTAAGAGAAAGCTTTCATATAGCATTTCAAAAGGTCAATAAGGGCTTCATAAGTACACTGATTCATCTGCTATCTTCCATCAGAAAAATCAATAAATCAACTGCAATAATTATATCAGACTCACACCAAGGAACTATTTGGTGTAATAGTACACACTTCTTTGTGGATATTGTATATTCCAACGAGTGTTAGTTGTTTCTCATGTCCCACAAGGAGGCGGCATTCAAATTTGATCACTTCACTATATAGCTCAAAGCTTCTTGATAACTGCCATATAACTCGAAAGTTATTGGTCATTAGTGTCACACTTTTCTCAGATCATGTCCAATTGATGATCTCATCTCGGCATTTTCCCATTTCCACTACAAGAACAAGTTCCAGTTTTTAACTCGAAAGATGAATTACCATCACAACTAAAAATTTGATGCCTTATTGCTATAAAAGTTTTTGCCGTCGAGAACTTCTAAACAATCCCCAAACCTTATTCATTGGACCAAGTGCCCACTGGCACCTCAAAACTAGCATTAATTTTGAGGAACATCACCCGGGAATTCTTTTAACACACATTAATGGCAACTCTTCGCGTCCGTATGCTATACAATAAACAGATAAAACTTCAATTTCCACAGCAGCTCCTAGCAATCACTGTATCTTGCATATTTCTCATATGCCCATTATGAAACAAATCGAAAAGAGCACAAACAAAGCGATTACTAATTCCTCACCACTGAATTGATGTACTCTTCAAAGGACTCTCCATACTTGTCATAGAGTTGCTGGGAGTAATCATGAGGAGGCTTCTGAGTACACATATTGTAAATGGTTCTGCAAATAACATCAAAGAAGTCAACAACAATATGATCATGCAGCTCAGCGAGCAGGCATGCACCGAAAAAACAAAAAAAGCAGAGCACAGAAGCGGAATACGCGTAGATCATGATGTAGTCCTCGGAGGTGAATTGGGGCTCAGGAAGCCCTTCGAGGAGCTTCGTGATACCCTTCTGCACAAACTCCCATCCTTGTTCTAGGTTGATAGTCTGCCTGTCGTTCATCTCCTAGAACCACACCCTGACCCTCAATTCCTCTGCAGGAAGAACAGATTCGCAGCTAAGAATCTCGCCAATGCACAAGCACCATAAACACTAAAACCCGCAAGGTCGACAACTAAGCGCGCATAAGACGCCGGTAACAAGCTCCTACTTTGTAAAGCACCGTAATAGTAAGGGGTGGTCAACAGGCCAAAAAGGTCAAAGAGAGAAAAGAAATAAAAGAATAAAAATCAGCATCTCTCCAAGATTGGAACCACACGTCTAACGCTGATGAAATATAATATTTCAGAATATCATGTTAACTAGTTTACTAGGTAAGTTGCTCGAAATGATTAATGTTACGTCAATATTGGAATCTTATAATATGAACTACGTTAACACGAAATAGCCCAGATTAGATGGATTCTGACAATGTTTAAGTTTGGACAAAAACATTGCAAGTACTTATTATGGCGCAATGTACTTCAATGGGTGTCTGCATGTGAACTTTTTAGGGCACGAACAGAACCTCCAGGCCCATCAGTAAGCAGCCACATTGGGCTGAACTCCCACATTGGGTTGAACTCACTCCCAATTTCAGCCCAATTGACCATTGTCTCCACAACGCGGAATGATGATTTCTGGATCAATTCCCCACATTGGCTGCTTAGGATAATCATAGAAAAAATTACTTTAATTCAAGATTTCCCCTCATTTTATGACCCTCTAATAACTTTTCATCATTGATGAAGTACACCTCACAAATTTCCGGTGGATGTAATTCCGTGCTAATATAGTTATTATCGCATTTGGACCGTCGTCATCATCATTGTACATCAACCTATCATGGGAATGAAATACTTCCATTTTCTAAACTTTTTCAATTTGGTCAAAAAAGTCATAAACCTATTGTACAAATGCCTCTTTCTAGTCCAAGTCATCAATTGAAATCGCTACACCGATGACTATCCCTCGAAACACGAATTTGTATGCTTCAATAATTACACCCACATGCCTCAGACGAGGATTGCCACGAGCTTCAAGCATCACACTCTTAGAGGATAATTACCAAAAAAATTATAAACTTATGCATGAATGCCAATTCAATCATAAACCTCGTAATTTGGCCAAGTTTTTTTGTCGGGGGCCAATTTAGGGGCTATTTGGTAACTGGTCAAACAGGACCCAATTCTATTCTTTTGTTCCTCGGAACAAAAAAAGAACAGAAATCCGCTTGGTAAATTTTTTGTTCTTAAGCACAAATTTGTTCCCAGAATCAGTTTTGGAACATAATCAAGAAAAAAAAAAGTCGATTTTGATTCAGAGAATAAGAATCAGAAAGGGAAAAGAAAAAAAAATTTCTTCTTCTTCTTCTTCTTCTTTCTTTCTTAGCCTGTAGCCAGTGGCCGGTGGCCGGCCATGGCCAAGAAGGAGAAGAGAAGAAAAAAATAAAATAAAAAAAGAAAGAAATATTAAAAAATTTAAAAATATTATTTAAAAAAAGAAATTTTGTGCAGTTATCAAACGCATTTCTGTTCTTTTTTTATTCCAGTAATGAAAATTTTGGGCCATTATCAAACGCCTTCAAATGCTTGAAAATTGTTTCCGGGAACATAATGGTTACCAAATGCACCATTAGTCATAAACATTTTGATAATTTATTGATGTAGTCTTTCGGACCAATTTTTGGTCAGAAATTGCTTATGTAGACATCAACTATCTTGCATGGCGTGGCTGGCAATGATATAAATAATTTTTTTGCAAATTCAAATTAATTTCTGAATTTTTTATTTTTTTTTTCTTCTTTTTTTTTTTCATTGCGGAGCCTCATCCTGTGGCTGACAAGGGCAATGACCCTCGCCCCCTGTGGCCACAATAAAAAATAAAAGAAAATAAAAAATTATAAGAAAATTCATAAAGATTTTTTTAAAAAATTGCAAAAACTGTCTACGCGAACAATTTTCAACTAAAATTGGTTGTAAGAACTATATTGGCAAATTGTAAGAAGGTTTAGGACTAAATTGATCAAATTAAAAGGTTTATGACTAAATTGACATACATATAATAGATTTATGACTTTTTCGGTAATTTTTCCATAATAGTGTGACGTCTAGAGCTCATGGCAATCCTCATCAAGCATATGGGGTAATTATTGAAGCATACAAATCCGTGCGTTGAGGGATGGTCATCATTGTCGTAATTCCGATCGAGGACTTGAGATAGAAAGACAAACACGCTTACGATTCGAGCAACCCATTGAATGTATATCAAACTTGAGTTCGGCTCGAACGCACCTGCTAATGATGCATATTAGTTCCACTATTTATTCAATAAATTAAAAAAAATTACTAATTTATTATCCGTGTTAATCGAGAAAAAAAGGAATATCTATTTGTAATAGGAGCCCCCATAAAAACTATATAGTAAAAAAGAGACAAATAAAAAAAAATCCTTCTTCAGTAAACTTATTTTTTTCTAATACATCTTTCTTTTTATAGAAGGAATTAAGGTCATGGAAAGCTCGAGAAATAAAACTTGAACCTTATGTGCACGTATAATTACTAAGAAATTTAAAACCAACGAGAAAAAAAATAGATAGGATACTTAGTAAGCAAGGATGGGGTTAAAAATATTTATGTATTTTTTTTTTCATTTCCTCTTTAGAACAAAGGGGACAAAAAGGGCAAGATTCTGCATCATTGACATATACTTTATGGACCCAAGTCAACGACAAATAAAAAATAAAAAATAATAGTAATAATTAAATAAAAAGAAAAAGTAGAAAGGCTGATGGAAATAACGGTGGGCGCGAGGCCTGGCCGCACTTTTTCAACCGTTGGATTGGTTCCTTTTATAATAGGATAATATCACGAAAAATTTCAAATCGATACATCTGTGATAAATTAATCCTCCATTTTTATTAAATTTTACCGTCAAATTGCTGAGCTGGATGACACGGATTCTCTCTGTTTGTCACAGATTTATCAATTTATGATTTTTCGTGGTATTAATTTAATTTAACGGAGCGTAAATTTGTCACACGTATATCATTTTGGGATTTTTGGTAGTCAAAAAATTAGTTTGAGGTAAATTTGTCATATGTATGTCAATTTGGAGTTTTTCGTGATATATATATATATACACGCAAATTTAAGAGTATTTAACTACTTGTGCTCTTTTTTCTTTTGTTATTCCATCACTACTCTAGCAAGTTATTGTTTGTTTGACTTTATCTTAAAAGAAATTGAAAAAAACAACTGGCTGTGGTTCCAAGCGTGAAATTATAGCCTCGGACATCATTTCAAGGTTTATTTTGTTATTTTAAGGAAGCCGTAATTTAATCTGTGGATACTATCGATGTTCGACGATAGTGACGGGTCCTAAAGGCATGTCACATTAAATTCCTGTTACTTTTGCTTTACTTTCCACATCTTTTGTCCTTTTTTTAGGCGTAAAATAAGAAAAGCATGGTTCATCGGGATTTATGAAATTAAATCGAAGTTCATGTTAATTTCTTAATAAAACAAACCGGCCCGATTGATTAGATCCTTGAACACGATTCGACGTTTTATAAAGAAAAATAATAATTTTATTAAAATCGGTCTGTAAAATTGGTATATCACATGATTGTAAGTGAACATTTGAACAAACAAGTCATATTAAAAATTTGACAAGAGTCCGCATGATATTGAATATATTCATTTCGTATATCGTAATCTCGATACATCTGACATTATATTTTTTTTTTAAGTGGGTTCTTCAATTTGTTTGATCTAATTTTCCGATTGTATGATATCTCTGTCACCAACTGGTTTAGTGGACAACAAGAAGTGACATCCATTGTCTCTGTTTAAAAGAATTTCTTACGCAGCTGTCTCATCTAATTCCCCCTCTCTACTCTATAGCTGGAAAAAAAAAATGAATATGCACCACATATTTGTTATACAAAAAATAAGTACATAATGGGCATTTACTTGCAGTCCAGCCCACTCCTATTTTTATATGCTAGAAAATATGCACGTCCGTCGTGCAAGTACAAAAAAAATTGACATTTTAAGAGATTTTGCACTATCAATTCATTGAGAAATATTTAAAGTATTGGTCAATGAGAAAAATATTATTGACACGATATGAAGATATCACATGTTTAAAGAGAAAATTATTTCTACCGTGACCTTTTTTTTTATTTATTTTTGGATAAGGTTGTCTATAAGATGGATAAGATGTAATTTGCAAAACTGAAATGCATGTAAAAAGTGAGAATTATTAATTTGCGCATTTGTCCATTCATTGAATATTTATAAATTAACTAATTGAGGATATTTCGAGAAAGAGAAAAAAGATTGTAATCCCCTAAAAATAGAAGCCCTCCTGCTTTATATGATAATACGGATTGAACCATTAATCAAGGAACGAAAATATTGGTAAAACTACACGATCCAATGAAATTTATATATAGTTTTTTTTATATCGATTAAGTAAATATTTCATACATAAGTGATATCACTAATCTTGCAAATATCAAGTTGTCGCAGACATGTGATGTGTTTGCCCACTTCTATGGGCAAGTGCCAACCTAATATGATAATATTCCATCGAATTGCTTTTTTGGAAAATGATAACTTTTTTTCTTTTGTGAATTTTATCGATATTCATGGAACAAGATGCCTTTCAAATTGTCGCATTATTTAATTAGGAGCTAGCAAAGGAGAAATTCTACATTCCATCCGCTAGTTTGACCACTCGCTTAACCTACCAAATTATAGTTGAAAGTCTGTGGACTAGAATACTTTCAGATGACATAAAACGTATATTCTTTACTATAAACTTGTCGATCTTCATCGTTCGAGATATCGACCCGGGTCTTTGCCTCGAGTTTTGCTTGATTTATGGGATTTTGGTGGAGCATTTTCGTGGACCCGGAATTTACTTGCTTGTGACAAGACCGGCTTCATTGCCAAAAAAAAATTGTTTATATAATTTGTGAATTCGCCACTATCCTCTATCTATCTATATAGTTATATAAATTGTGACGGTTGCATATTGCATGCAGCTCGTCGAGTAGCCAAATCCAGTGGCTCATTTTAACGGTACCCAAAAAAAAATTTATAGAGTCGGCCATGTATTTTGCTAGCGTGACCTACTCACTAATGATCACGAAGAACTTCTAATCAAAT